GTCATAGAAACAGCACTTTGTTCCTTGGAACACAACTTTGCTAGACCAAAGTCGGAGATCTTGGGAATGAAGTTATGGTCTAGCAAGATATTGTGAGGCTTGATGTCAAAATGAAGGATTTGTTGGTCGCAACCTTGGTGCAAGTACTCAATCCCTTTGGCTATTCCCATAGCAATATCTTGAAGCTCCTCCCAACTGAGGAAACGATCTTTATCTTTGGCTACAAATATGAACTTCTCTAAGGACTCGTTCGGCATGTACTCATAAACAAGAGCCCTTTTATTTCCATCTGCACAAAACCCAATCAAGCGAGTAACATTGACATGGTGGATTCTACACATTGATCCCACTTCGTTAATGAACTCTTCCGCAGTCGCTCTGAAATTGTTGAGGACCTTAACAGCAACCAAAACATCATTGGAAAGTCTCCCTTTGAAAACCGTTCCATAGGCCCCTTCTCCAAGTTTGTCCTTGAACTGATCTGTTATTCGCTTGATATCAGCATAAGAATATCTCGACGGCTTGAGAGCTTTGTAATCCTCTAGAAAATTTTCAATCTTGAGTTGGCCTTCTTTCTCTGCTTTATATGAATGGTGAACGCGGTAAAGTCCGAAGGGAATTATTCCAAGAAGACAAGAACCTAGGATTATTCCTGTAGCCAACAATACTTTCTGTACATCTGTAAAACATTTGAAAGTTAGCTTCTTGATATGTTTCCTCAAATCTATTACAATCTGATATGACAAAACTGAGGCATCGGAGTTTTGCCCAGGGACGTAAAATTTTAAACTAGATGTTCATCTCATAATCAAAAGAAGGAGCATTGTAAGCAACAGAACAAGGGTAGAAAATTTAAAAACAAGGCGAAATCTAAGGAATACAGATGAACTCAACAAGGATGGCATTCATAATATTTGGAATTGTTAAAACTTAAAAGCATACCTCTTTGTTTTTTGGATTTACCATAACACTCTATCTCATCATGTGTAATGCTATTATTTTTCTTCGGTCTGCATTTCTTGCCCACCGCTCCACATTTATTGCAGTCTGGTTTGGACCAACTCAAATGAACATCCCTTTCCTGGTAATACAACATATCTTAAGATACTGCTATTGCCGAAATGTTCATCAACGTTCTGCTGCAATTTAACAAACTAATAGCACGACTAAAATTGGAAGGAAAAGCTATTACTTGGAATTCTGGGATGCTTAAACAAGGAATTGTAATAGATTCATATAAATCACGCGGTTGTGCTTCGCGTGAACAATTGAAAATAGTGTATTTTTGAGGTGGGCCGTTGATTTTATCCCTGTAATCCTGGAAGAGAGATGCAGATAAATTGAGATTGGGAAGCTGCCGCGGGAGGCAATCCTCCGGATCATATAACTTAATCCATTGTGCTTTGTAATTTATGCGCTTCACAAACAACTTCACATTTCGCGGCAGCTCGAGCACAGTCTGATTTTCATCGTTGCAGGATAGTTCAAACCCAGAATAACCGCAGTACTCGGGCTGCTCTTTTAGTCGGAATGGGAACCGGATGGTATGGTGACTGCACTTTTTGGGTTGGCATTCGTCTTTGGCAGCATGGAGCTCTGTAACCGTCACTATCAAGACAAAGCAAAAAAGCGAAAGAATCATCCTGAAGAAACTTTCCATCCCTGAAATCTTGAATCGAAAATCCAGCGGGATTTAGGATACAAATAGCAGAACTGGGGAGAAGAAGCTGTAAGTGATAATGAGCATGAGGCTCTGCAAGGTGCGGGAAGGATTCGAGGACTGCTGATTTTTCATAGTAGGAATTCCTTTGTCATTCTTCTATGAAAGTTCCGCTCTGGTTTGGGTCTTTTCCCATTTTTTTTTAATTTAATTTTAGTATAGCTGTGGCTGCAGGAGCAGGTTGGCTCTCAGAATATGGATATTATCATAATTTAAATTTTTGTGGTGTAATTCCCCTTTTTTCAAATTTTAAATGTTAAAAGAAAAAAACCTTTGAGGTTTTTCCAAACTTTGGTACAGCTCAGTTATTTTTTTTCCCTCGTTATTTTTTATTTTAAATTTATTACAATTTAATTGTTTTTTAATTTTTTATACTAAATAAATATTTAAGAAAAAGTAAAAAAAAAAA